GCCCCAAGAGGCCCCCAGGAGCCCCTCAACAGGCCCCCAAGACGCCCCCAAGACGCCCCCAAGAGGCCCCCAAACTACCCCCGTCGGCGTTGTACCCGTCGTCACCATCGCCGTAGTCCTCGTCTTTGGTATCGTCGTCGTCGCCATCGCCGTCGCCGTCGCTGTCGCCGTCGCCATCGTCGTCGTCGCCGTCGTCGTCTTCAGGGTCGGCGGCACCGGCCGTAAGGCCTTCGCAATACTCTTCAAGAGAGACGTGGACCGCCTTCGCGGGTGCTCCTGGGCGATCTTGGGTTCCACAGGGGCGGTTCGCATGACTTGTTCAAAAGCCCCCTGGAGCGTAGTCGGGCTAGCAAGTCTCCAAGATTATCTACAGTGGAGGCCAGTCCACAAGAAACCTTCCACAAGAAGCCCAACCCTGGGACCCCAGGACGTCCATTGATTTGTGGTGTGGGAACAATAAGCCCCCTGAGACGGCCCGACGGGGGGGGAGACGAACTACAAGGTCGAGCCCCTTTCTCTCAAGATGGTCCTCGAAACCGCCAAGAGATCCCCTGGAGGGAGGCCCCAATGGGCTTCCAAGCCGTCCCCAAGAGGAATCCCAAGAGACCCCAAGAGGCCTCTGAGAGGCCTCCTGCCAACGACCCAGGCACGGCGGGGAGGATGGGCCGAAGGCGAGCGGATAGAGAGTAGGGAATGAGCCGCTGTTGTGAGAGCCAAGCACTGGTACCTGTCTGAACTGCAGGCCGCACACGTCGTGGCGGCCGTACAGGCAGGGAACCGTAGCTGCCGCCGTGCTGCTGCAGACCTTCCAGCCGGGACGCGTGACGGAGTAGTCTGAATACCACACCATCCAGCCGTTCGCCTTGGCACCTCTGCCCTGCGGTCCCGACTGGCCCGAGTAGTACGTGCCGTCCACGTAGAACCAGTCCCAGTAGTTCTCGGTGTCGAACTTGTCCACTTGAAGCGTCACGTCTGTGCTGGCCCTGATCCAGCAGACCTGGTTGTTGCCGTAGGAGCTCGGGCTGTTCGGGCTTGAGACGCACTGCTTGTCGGCAGACAACTTGCACGGCCCCCAGACAGTGAAGGTGCCGCTGCTGGTATGACTGCGCCTCATCAGTGTGGAGCTCGCTTGGGCTAGGACTCGAGCCAGATCGGGACTCTCCTGCTCCATTTTCTCCCACAGGCTCGGCACGTCCATTTCGATTTTCTCTCCATTTATGCCATGCGTCTCACTCACTTTGTCGGCGTCGACCTTCTCCTCGTCCTTGTCCTCATAAGTGAATGGCATGAGACCTTGGTCCAGAGCGTACTGGGTGTTATTGGTAGTTCGGAGGTGCGTCTCTTCGGCTCTGAGCCCCCCTTCCAGATCCAGAACGTTCTGCTCGGACCGCTCGATGCTTGTATTTGTCTCGTTGGGGGTCAGCTCCCTGCTGAGAGGTAGCTCTTCACTGATGTTCTTCAACTCCTCCTCGACCTTCACGAGCGTTGTTTCCCGTGCGTTCTTGATCACACCCATCAGCCTTCTGTGGGCAGACCGGACATTGGCCGCATCCCGTCGGAAGGACGCGCTGCGGGCGTAGCGAAGCACGTGGGATGTGCAGACGCTGCCAATGGACTGGCCGAAATGGCCCACGAACAGCGAGAAGTCTGGATGCTCGTCGGAAGTGACGCACCCATCCCTGTTTCCGAAGATGTCCGCTGCTCGATGCTCTCGGCGGAGAAGTCTTAAGAAGGATCGGTCCGTCATCGACGCCAGCCTCCCTGGGCGGATGCTCCTGAGGTTGCGGCGACGCCACTCCATCAACTCGACGAAGGAGTCTTTGTGGACTGGAGGGATCCAGAAACGCTGACGGCCTCCCTCGTCCGCAAGGGACGCGCCGGAGGGCAGAGGCTTCCTGTTGAGGCCGCCAACCCTGCCACTGCTCGATACGTCGGCAGCGGCGGGGGAGCCTCCTGCACGCGGGCGAGCAGCGCGCTCGCGCTTCCCTCCACTGCTGGCGACCACGTCCCCTGTCGGAGTCACGACCGCCGAATGAACATCATTCGCCGACAATGTCTGGAGTCGGGTGGTTTTGGCCTGACGCTGAGGAGAGACGTAGTGAGAGCGCACCAGAAGGGGCACGAGGACGATTATCGCAAGGCCGCGTGCTGCTGGAAGCATCGCGGACGAGAGTCGCAAGCTGTTGGAGGCGACGAACTGTACTTCACAGACAGCGCAAAACAGGTATCGGCGTTCTTGAGTTCTGAGAGTCCTGCGGACGAGAATACCCAAAATAATGGCTATCCTGGTCGTACTTATGCAAACAATCAGTGCACCCAAGACTCATGGTGGTGCAGACTATGCTGACGGTGGAAGCAGTCAGACAAACAAACAAACATAAACAAGCAATGTTGAATAGCAACCGCCCTGATCAATGTAGCGGTTGCGGGCGTGATGGGCCGAATCAAGGTGTGGGTGGCAATGTTGCTCATATTTCCTGGTGGCATATGAGAAACGACCCAACGCATACACATTTATGAATGGTGGAGTCTGGGACCTCACGTGGCACAGCCTGCCATTGATCAAGCGCGTAAGCTGGGAGCGAAACTCACGTGATGGATCGACACCGTCTGCTGATATCGCCGTCGCCGTCGACAAACAACACGTCGCTGCTCACAGTCGCAGAAGTGCTTCCCCCACCCCCCAACAACCGCTCGACACACCAAACTAACCGGCAACCCACGGGCATCAGCTAACTGTACTGGTGACCAAGCACGTTTCAAGAGAGCTCGGGGGAGATCAGCTAATATGGAGATCTGCAGTTTGCTGTCATTTCTCTGGGGCGCATGTTTTACAAACTTCCGCCACCTTCCGCCACCCTTCCTCCGATGGAGGCGGCCTCCATGAAACAACACCATATGCGTCATGAGAAAAACAAGGCAAACTGCATATACTACAACCCGTTGGATTAAAAAGGTGGGACGGCGGGGTTCGAGAGAGAGAGAGAGACGCTGTTGGCCACCCGTTAGGCCATGGTGCCCAGGACAATGTTGGATTTGATGCCGAAGTTGGAGTTTCAGACGCATACCTCACCCCCTTTAATATTATAAAAGCCAAATGGGGCCGGCGTCTGAAAGTGGCATTCCGCCTAGGACTTCCTCAAAAAAGCTTCAGATCGCCTTCCAGGGCGATCTGAAATTCTCCCATGCCGTCTGAAAGTGGCGATTTCGCCTAGGACTTCCTCACAAAAAGTTTCAGATCGATGTTCATGCCGCCTGAGAGTGGTCGTTTCGCTTAAGACGTCCTCAAACAGTACTTTCAGGCTGCCTTCCATGCCGCCAAAGACAAAAAAATCGTGTGCGATGATTTCCATAACTTTGTGCTGCAGAGCTCCACGCCCTGCAGAGCCGTTCCGTCATTCGGTTCACGGGCCTGCCTTGGAGTCATCTCGGGGTTGATCGACGGTGGAGGCTCGAGGGCCAGTCGACCGGCGAAACCCGCGGGGATCGCTCTCTCGCATAGTGCCGGTCACAACTTTTTAATCCAGAGGGTGGTAGGCGCCCCACGCGGCACATGAGCCATGGGCGTGGCCGACGCAGGCCTCGGTAGCGCCACCTGACGAGGCCCCGTATGACCAGCTGACACCATAGCAGGAATACGGTACATACAATCGAGCGGCTGCCAGCGTGGAGCGTGGAGCCAAAGATGTGCACTCTGGGTGCGCACGTCATGCGGTGCAACATCTGCGATTGTTTGCGCAATCGATGGTGCAACCTCTGAGGTGGGATCTATGTGGTGCATAATGACTGGCGCAAGTTGTGTGGTGCACGCTAGGTGGTGCAAGCTGTGCGGCGCAAGCTGTGCGGTGCAAGCCACGTGGTACAAACTGAGCGGCGCAATGTGCGGTGCGAGCAATGCGGTCCAAGGTGGTGCAACCAACGGACGACGCGCCCACGAAGCGCCCACGGGTGGCCACAAGGCGAAGACGCCCGCAAACGAGGTGCCCACAGCGCCCACGAAGCGCCATTGGGCGGACACTAGGCGCAACACAAGAAACGGCAGCCGGCGCGCCGCCCACGAGGCGGCCATGGGCGGCCGCCGCGACTGCGCTAAAACCCCGAACCTCTTTCAAGCGCGTGGGGCGCCCACGAGGCGCCCACGGGCGGCCACCGGTCGGCCACCGGGCAAAAACCCGACAATTGATGCCAGCGCGCGAAGCGCCCACGAGGCGACCACGGGCGGCGACTGTGCGAAAACCTCGGAACAGCCAGCCAGCGCGCGAAGCGCCTACAAGAAACCCGCGGGGCGAAAACCCCAGAGCCACCAGCAAACGAAACGCTTGCGAGACGCTCGCGGGCACCCACTGGGCAACAAACAAAAACTGCACCGCACTTAGCAGCAAAAAAACCCTAGGCGCAAGCGCTGCCTCCTGGGCAGCAAAACTGTTCCACGCGGGTGCCCCCATGTGCAGATCATTTTCTGGCGCCTCCCGCCGTGAGTGTCTGAGCGCAAACGAATCTCAGCCTGGGGGCGGCTAAGTGAAGACTCGGGGTGTGAGCGATCCACCCTGCCGTTTCCTGCCACAGCCTGCCGTTCTGAACCGCCCAGTGCTGCCCGTGCGCTTCTGCGCTGGATCTTGATACCATATTGTGGCTCCACGGCAGGGCGCGCGCGCGCAAGCATCCAGGGGCGCAGCCACGCGCACGCTCGCCACAACGTGGAAGCACTAGGAAGGCGGGGGCGGTGACTGAACACACATGAATTTGCTTGCGAGCGAGCCTGTCAATTTGCTGCCGCATGGAAGCGGCCCTAATAGTGAGCGACCAGAAAATGTGTCGGGTCCACGCGTGTGCTTCGCAGACGCAAAGGAAACGCACAATGGAACAGCGACAGGCACGCGCGCAATACCTTCCGCATTTGGCACTGGGTCGACGTGGAAGCTGGCCGCTCGTGCTATACATGCTCCAACCAGACTGCCCGCACTTGGCATCAGGTCGGTTGTTCGGAGCACCCCAAAAACTTACGCCAACGGTACTGGACAATATCCGCGCTGCTCTTCTGGCAGCAAGCGGCGCCAGCGATCGTCCGCACTTGGCGTCGGGCGCGAAATGCGACCGCCCACTCTTGGCATCGGACGAAGAAGCGCGCGGGCCACTACTCCCGGCGGCGCTACCCCGACGAGTCTGGCAAGCAAAACGGCGTCTGCTACCGCCGTCCGCTCGCTCTGCTCGACGCGGCCCAGGGACGCCCGCACCACAGCCGGCGGGTTTCCTTCTAGGAACTTGCGGGGAACTGACCACGCCAGCAGCACGTCATCCATCCGCGCTGTGCGCGAGAACATCACGTACAGGTTCGAACACCACGCATAGTCATCAGTGCCGCTGTGCAGATGGGGCTCCTGGCGCGCGCAGCAAGAAGGTCACCACGGCACGAATCGCCTGCCCTGGCGAGGCCGTCGTCACAAGGTAAGTAGTGAGCGCGCGTGAGCACAACGCCCAAGCGCGTCGAGCTGTGCGCCACAGACGGCGCCTCCGAGGCGGGGGTGGTCTCCATCAGAGTCTTCGCCCCGACGGGGCCCGCACGATAACGCCGAACTCGAGCGCGTCGGGGCAACGGCCGCCTCCGTGTTCGACTGGACCGGGCACGAGAGCAAGAACACAACTCGGCCTCGGGGCAGACCCACTTGAGCCCAAATCCTGCAATCGCTCGGACCTCCCTTTCCCGTGCGTGTGTTCCGATGTTGTGCGTTGTCTTGTAAAAAATGATTCCGGATGATCCTCAGTAGTCCTCGCTGGGAAAAACATGCACACGTCCGAGCGACGCCAAGAAATGGCAACCGACCGTGCCTTCGGCAGGAAAGGGCGTGCCAGAATTCAAGCCTTGCCTGTCTGGTGGGGCCACTGAAGCTTGCCCAGGGCGCGGCCCACCTCGCGGCGTGCATCCCGCCCCCTCCACACGGAGTGGAGAGATCAGATCCTGAACGGAGTGCACCCAGAAGCGCAGTGTTTGTTGTGGACTCAGTTGGCATACTCATAAAAACGATAGTGGTGGCCAGAGCTCCATGGATTCAAGTGCCACCTGCTGCCACGGGGCTCCCCCCCCCCGCCCTCCCGAAAATTGCAACCCTGCGTTTTGCTTTACCGTGAGCTGCTCTGCCCGAAGGCGGCCCAAGACCGCCTCAAAGAAGCTGCAGTGCACAGGATGCCCCAACAGCCACAGAAACGACCCGAGATCTCGCGCTGCCCCCACGAGGCTCCGAGAGACTCGAGCCAAGAGAGTCGCCCAGGAGCCCACTGGCTGCGCGCCGGGAGACTACTGACCGAAGAGGCCTCTCTGGCCACGGCGAGCCTCGGCTATGAACAGGTACGGCAGGTTCGCGTCGTGTCGACCCCAGCGTTGGTTTCTGACACCGCGGGGATCGTTCAACCTTGAACGATCGGCCGTTCCCGCAACGTCCAATCGTTCAACATCGACCGATTCTGGGTCGCCGGCGGCATTCAACGTTAAACGCCGCGGGCGGGGGTCGCCGCGGGTCGACACGACGCGAACCTACCGTACTCCGACCTAGATCCAACGAGCGGCTCGAAGACCCGAGTCCCTCCCGAACGCAACGTGGTCCCCGTTTCAGCGTCTTGACGGTACTGCCCCTACTCTTGCGGGCAGGGGGCCACCTCGAGATGTCCCAAGGGCGGGCAGAAGCCACAGTGCGGCCCTCGTGGGTTTCCCTGGAGACATCCTGAAGCACACGCCGCTCCGAAGTGGATTTGCCCGCCGTTCGACTGCTTGGCAGTGTGGGCTTCACGCGGAGCACGGCCGAACAAGAACTTCCCCCACCCCTGGGCAATCTGGAGGTCGTTATGGAGCTGCTCTGGTGGACTCTTGGGCAGTCTTCGGGCCCTGGTGTGCATCTGGCGACCCCCCACCACCCCTGCTAACAAGCAATGCTGCAAAATACAACATGCGGCAACATAGGCATCATGTTTGGGTCCCCCGATCACGTTACATTGTGTTCGTCAAGGATCGGGGGAGGGCGGGGGTAGCATCTTGCCTCACGTGTGCAGACTCGCCATCCCAGCCAAAAAATACATGCATCAAGTACATTGTGGCAGAATTCTGGACCTTGCGATCATCTTGCACTGTTTTGACAAGGGTGATCGGGCCGTGGCACGCGCGGCGCACCTCGCGGGTGTCGCGGACCTGGCTGGCGTCTGCATGGTTCACGATGGTTGTCGATGGCACCCCGTGCCTATAGTAGGGATCGTGTCCTAGCTATGTGCTGGGAGGACGGGTGGCAGCGAGCGAGGCGGCTTGCAGCTTGTGGGTAGCTTGACTCCTCCCACTGAGTCGACGACGCCGCCGTCGTCGTCGTCGTCATCATCATAAGCATCAGCATCCCCATCATCATCATCATCATCATCATCATCATCACCATCATCATCATCAGCATCGTCGACGTCATCGTCCTCGTCCTCGCCACCATCCTCATCAGCATACTCATCATCATCAGCAGCAGCAACACCATCGCCTTCACCATTACAATCATAAACAGCATCATCAACATCATCATCATCGCCATCAACAACATCAGCATCATCATCATCACCACCACCTCCGCCACCATTATCATCACCATCATCATCATCATCATCATCATCATCATCATCAGCATCAGCATCAGCATCAGCATCACCAACAACATCATCGTCACCATCACCAACATCATCGTCATCAACATCATCATCGTGCCCTGACGATGGTTTCTCCGAGGCCAGTGCCGGAATGCGTTCGAAGCGAAAAGGCAGCACCGTGTGCAAGTGGGGGCCACGGCAGCGGAGAGAACATTCACTGAATCTGTGCTGCCGAAGGGCCCCTCGGCCACGGCGAAGCAGCGCAGCTGAAGACAGGGAGGGGAGGGCGGGAGCTCATGAAACGAAGGCTACGGAAAGCAAGTTTTCGGCCTCTCCCCCCCTTCGAAAGGCATTCAACTTCAAAAGAAAAGACCATGCCCTGACGATGGTTTCTCCTAGGCCAGTCTCGGAATGCGTTCGAAGCGAAAAAACAGAACCGCGCGCGACTGCGGGCCACGGCAGCGGAGAGAACATTACCTAACTGGAATCTGTGCTGCCGAAGGGCCGCCCGGCCAAAACACCCCGAACACTCTGGAGGGCCACTCATCTTGGATTAGCAACATAACCATGCAGGCGAGGCTGACAGAGCTTCAGACTGTAGACGCGCGCTGACGAAACTATGGACCCACCGGGGCGCAAGTGGCTTGGGATAAGGTTGCGCCGCCAAATTCCACAAGTGCCTCCCCGGAGCACGCCCTTTTATAATCTGATGCGGCTTGCCTGTTCTGCTACAACAAGTTCGCGAGCCCGAGCATTGCCGAGCGAACGCTGAGACATCCACGCGAAACCACAGGAGCCCTGTCGGCTTTTTCCCAAGGGTTCCGTCCTGACAATAGTGTGTGACTACCCACAAAACGCGTGGCTGTTTCCGAAGACGCTGGAGCGATGGAACGAGCCAGAGACGCGACATGGCTGGATTTTCAATCGTGCAAGGGATCTGCATGCGCCCACAGCTAGTCCAGAGCCCCTCGCACAGTTTTACAAGCTTGTTTGCCGTGTCAATCTGAGCTCTGTCCACGAGATGCGTCACTGCGGCAAGACCCAAGATCTCCGTGTCAGACCTCAGGCGACTCGGCCAAGACCCCGCTTCACCAGGAGATCTCAGCGGCCCTGCGCCCGCGATCCCTGTCCAGGTCTGGCGCGGGGCGCCGAAGTGCATGTCCCAGATCAGACCGGCATCCAGCCGCCCTCGGAGCAGCCTCGCGACCCTGGGAACGGTGAGGTCCCAGTCGGGCCCCCAGGTGATGTCCCATTCGATCACTAGTGCACCCTCGCGCCGCAGAGCGGCCGCCAACACACAGGGGCCCGAGAACGCCTCCACGAAGACAGGAGGCACCAGGAAGTGCCGGCGACGAGGTCCCAGCATCTTCCTCAGCGCCAGCTGAGGGAGGCCAGCCGAGCGGGGGCCAGCAGGGCCGCGCGCTGCACCGCAGGATGCACCCTCTGCATCTGCGCGTTCACGCGGCCTGGCTTGCGGCACCTGGCGACCGAGGCGTCGGACCTCCAGCGCCCTCGCAGCTTCGCGCTGGCCAGGGCCCGCAGCTCGAGGGCCAGCTCGACGGACGGGCCCGAGGGCCGTCAGCGCCTCCAGGCCGGCGTCGACCGCCGCCTGCTTGAAGAGGGCGCTGACCTACACCAGGGTGAACGGGAAGAGCGGCGAGCCCGGGTGCGTCGAGGCCTTCAGCCACTGCAAGAAGGAACCCGCATAACGGGGCGTCGAAAGGGATCACCTCGTCGCAAACCTGAGTCTTGCTCGGCATCGCCAGCTCCCGCGGGTGAAGGACCAGCGACCAGCCCTCGCAGGCCCCGCCGGGCGCTGGCGGGATCAGCTGTGAACCCAGAGCCCCGAGAACCTCGGACGGGCGCAGGTAGCCCGCGGAGGTCGCCAGCACGTGGATCGCCGATCGCGCCTGCCCACGTCGATCAGCCTTTCCGCGATGCACGCGCAGGCACCCGTCTCCTCCAGCCGCGCAGCGCCTGCAGCGCCCTCGGCAGCCCCAGCCCCCCGCGAGCGAACTGCGGCATCATGAACTTCAGCGCCGCCAGCATGCGCGCGCCCCGCTCGGGGTTCCAGCCTTCGGCATACTGCTGGCCCATACACTGCGCCAGCAGGTCGTCGGCCGTCTCGGTCCGCAGTGCAACTGACGCGGTCGCCAGCCAAAGCGCGAACTCCTCCCACAAGCGCAGATACTTCGTCCTCGTGGCGACCGTCACCGTGAGGGCTCTCAGCACATGGCCCGCAGAGGCCCGCACGGAGGCGGCCTCGGGCGCCCTCGCCGCCGCTCTGCCCGCGCGCCTGGCCGCTGCCTCGGCTGCCTTCACCTTCGGGCGAGGGCTCGCGCCGCGGCGGCTCCGCGTCGGCCTCGCCGAGGAGGGAGCCGCCGCCGGCGGCCGAGGCTGCTGGGTGGCGCCTCGCGCCGGCGCCGCCAGGAGAGCGGGGCTCCTTCGCGGCGGCCAGACCGGCGACGGCACCCCACTGAAGCCGCGCCCCTATCCGAAGGGGCCGGCGTGACGGTAGGTCCGCTGGATGGCATCCAGCGCAGTGCCGCGCTGATGCCGCCCGCAACGGCCAGGGCGGCCCACCGGCGGCAGACGCGGGCCATCCTTGGCCGCGAGGAGCGGCCCTTCAAGAGAGAGCCAGGACGGCGACGGGGCTATCCGAGAGAAAGAGAACTCGATGGCCATGCTGCTTCGCATCACGAAGTGCATGTTT